CTATGCATCTCCAACATGGACACCTAAGTACCATTTGAATCTCTCTAAAATGACATTGTGTGAGTCAATGCAACTCTTCACACGACTATATATATGCAGCTCTGCATTGCAAAGAGTAAACAACTTGTTCTTTACGCATAATTTGCGTGGCATATTTTCTTGCTCTGGCAGGACAGTATGGACTGGTAAAAAGCATGAACTATGCATGCTTTTCATTCAGCTACAGAGGGGAATAGTCATTATCAACAGAGCAAGTGTGGTGCATTGCCTTGTGTATTGCACTATGATGATCATGGAAGACCAGAGTTCAAATCTCAGTTCTGCTCTGAAAACCCATTGTGAGTTTCAGAGGTGAGCAACGGCAAAGCCCATCTGAATCAATTTTGCCCAGAAAACCATGTGAGTGTGTCATATAGGAAGTTACAAATGACTTGGAGTTGGTGTACAATAAAGCTATTAATAATGAAAATAATGTATTGTCGAAGGCTATAAATAATATTTTTTTAAAAAAGAATTGGTCCTCCCAATATGCATTGCTTGAGTGACACCTTGTGACCAGATGGAGGAAATGTGCCTTTCATTCCTGCTGAGGAATGTGATTCTTTCAGGTAGGTCTTTAGCATTGCTTCAAAGTGTACTTACTTAGGCGATCCCTCCTAGCTGGAGGATGATGGCTCTCCAAGTGTAGTGTTTTGGTGGGGTGTCCGCAGATGATTGTGGAGTCCTATTCTTGATACACATGTTCTCTCGCAGTGAGGCCATTGGTTTCCAGGTGGAAGGTGGTCCTGGTCAGTGTTTGCTTGATGCACCTTCCTTTTGGCCCGTTTCTCCCTTTCGCCTCCATTTGTGCCTCTTTGAATTCTGCAGCACTGCTTGTTACAGCTGACCTCCAGTTAGAGTGCTCAAGGGCCAGTGCTTCCCAGTTCTCGGTGTCATGGTGTAGCTGCAGGTGGACAAAATCATTTTAAAAATATTTTAATTAGTGAATTGCATTTATAGATAAAATAGAAAGAAAGAAAAAATAGGATTGGCATAGTGGGATAAATAATGGGGAAAAGGGGTATCTCCTAACTATCTACGGGAAGGTTTATGGGGAGTTCATAGAAAAGAGAAATAAAAGAAGAAAAAAAGTATGGGGAACGGTGAAGAGTTTGGCTATGGACAAAATAATTTGACTAGGTCAGGCATGGACCAACTTGGGTCCTCCAAGTGTTTGGACTTCAACTCCCACCATTCCTAACAGCCTCGGACCCTTTCCTTTTCCCTCTCAGCTACTTATGCACCTTCCTCTTGGCACTTTCTCCCTACCACCCTCCATCCATTGCCTCTTCCAATTCTGCAGCACTGCTGGTCACAGCTGACCTCCACTTAAAGTAATTTCACACACAATATTTTTAAGAATTTTGTGCATGACATGAAGAGTGCATCTATACTGTAGAACTGATGCAGTTTGACACCACTTTAACTGCAATGGCTCTAGGCTACGGAATCCTAGGAGTTGTAGTTTTGCAGGGTCTTTCCCCTTCTCTGCCTAAAAGTGCTGGTGCCTCCCCAAACTATAACTCCCGGGAGTCCATAGCCTAGAGCCATTGCAGTTAAAAGTGGTGTCAAACCACATCAGTTCTACAGTGTAGATGCACTCTTTGGATCGTGCACAAAATTCTTTAAAACATTGTGTGTGAAATTACTTTAACTAGAGGTCAGCTGTGACCAGCAGTGCTGCAGAATTCGAAGTGGCAATGAATGGAGGGCCATGGCAAAGTGGTGACCAGCATTGCTGCATAATTCAAAGAGGCAATGGATGGAGGGTGAGAGGGAGAAAGTACCAAGAGGAAGGTGCATAAGCGGCTGAGGGGGGAAAGGAAAGGGCCTGAGGCTGTTAGGAATGGTGGGAGTTGAAGTCCAAACACTTGGAGGACCCAAGTTGGTCCACACCTGGCCTAGTCAAAAGATTTTGTCCATAGTCAAACTCTTCTTTGGGTCATGCACAAAATTCTTTAAAACATTGTGTGTGAAATTACTTTAACTAGAGGTCAGCTGTGACCAGCAGTGCTGCAGAATTCGAAGTGGCAATGAATGGAGGGCCATGGCAAAGTGGTGACCAGCATTGCTGCATAATTCAAAGAGGCAATGGATGGAGGGCGATAGGGAGAAAGTACCAAGAGGAAGGTGCATAAGCGGCTGAGGGGGGAAAGGGCCTGAGGCTGTTAGGAATGGTGGGAGTTGAAGTCCAAACACTTGGAGGACCCAAGTTGGTCCACACCTGGCCTAGTCAAAAGATTTTGTCCATAGTCAAACTCTTCTTTGGGTCATGCACAAAATTCTTTAAAACATTGTGTGTGAAATTACTTTAAGTGGAGGTCGGCTGTGACCAGCAGTGCTGCAGAATTCGAAGAGGCAATGAATGGAGGGCGATAGTGAGAAAGTGCCAAGAGGAAGGCGCTTAAGTGGCTGAGAGGGAAAAGGAAAGGGCCTGAATCTGTTAGGATTAAGCCATGGTAAAGTGGTGTTAAACTGAATTATTTTCACAGTGTAGACTTGCTGTAATTTAGCACTGTAGCCTCCTTCAACCTGTAGCATTGAATCAGATGCAAAACATTCTAGGAATCGCTTCAAAATGCAAGTAAAACTCCTATATTTCCTGCAACAGACTGCAACCTGGTTGTTGTCATTCTGGCGTCCTCAAACAGCCTTTTCTCACGGTCTGTGAGTCAGCCTTGCTTGCAAAACTACATTTCCCATCATGCCTTGTTGCAGCGCGTCTGTGCGCGTGAAAGGAGGAAGACGCCTTTGCAGCTGAGCAAGGAATTAGAGGAGTGCAGCTGTGTTTCTCTGCAAACAGCGTCAGAACATGGTCTTTGGAAGAAGAAACAATTTCCCATTGGATTGCATTGATAGGATATGATAAATAAGACTCCAAGACTCATTTGCATTGGTGAGAAGACTGCAGTGTTGCAGGTTTACTTGCAAAGCCCCATTGGAGGCTTTTTTTCCTAGATTAGTGTGCAAGCTAAGAAAACATATTTACTGAAATGTTTCAATTATCAGTAGACGCTCAGTTAACCGGCACCTATGCCGGATAAATGTAGTTTCTGATTACTTGAGAGTTACTATTAAAATAGGCATAACTAATCCTATACCAAAACTCTGTATTGACTTGTTATTATTGACTTGTAAGCTAAGTTTGTCTTAATTTGTTTTTACTGACTGTACTGCAATCAGTACAGTCAGTAAAACCAAATTAAGGCAAACTTTCATCGCCAGAATCACTGGGTTGTTGTAGGTTTTTCGGGCTATATGACCATGTTCTAGAAGCATTCTCTCCTGACGTTTTGCCTACATCTATGACAAGCATCCTCCGAGGTTGTGAGGTTTATATTAAATTGGGTTTATATATCTGTGGAAATATATATAAACTTAGCTTACTGTAACACATTTACTGTATTATAGAAACTTGTGAAAATTGGGTTGCTGTGATTTTTCTGGGCATGTTCCAGAAGCATTCTCTCCTGACGTTTCACCCACATCTATGGCCGGCATCCTCAGAGGTTGTGAGGTCTGTTGGAAAATAGGTAAGTGGGGTTTATATATATCTTGCAGACGGGGTGAATTATCTCTCATAAAAGGATGTGTTCTAGGCAGTCGTAGTTTCCAACAGACCTCATAACCTCTGAGGACACCTGCCATCGATGTGAGAGAATGCTTCTGGAACGTGGCCATACAGCCCGGAAAACTCGCAACAACCTATTGATTTTCGCCATGGAAGCCTTCGACAACCCATTGTAAGAATTGATTTTATTTTTATTTTTATTTAAACTTTATTTGATTATGATTATTATTAATGTTTATATTTGTGTTGTAAAAGTTTATTTAATTTTAATTTTTATTTAAAGTATTATTTCTTTAAATATCATTAATTATAATGTTTATTTATATTTTGTGTTGTAAAATTAATTACATTTTTATTTAAAGTATTTCTTTGATCATTTTTAATAATGTTTATATTTTGTGTTGTAAAAATATTTCAATTTTATAATTATTATTAATGTTTATATTTTGTGTTCTAAAATTATTTAATATTTTAAAGTATTATTTCTTTGGTTTATTACTATTGTTTATTGTTTATATATTGTGTTGTAAAATTATTTTAATTTAAAGTATTCTTGATTATTATTAATGTTAATATTTTGTATTGCAAAATGTATTTCATTATTTGATTATTGTTATTAAATTTATATTTTGTGTAGTAAAATTATTTTTATTTTTATTTAAAGTATTATTTCTTTGATTATTATTATTAATATTTATATTGTGTTATAAAATAATTTTTATTTTTATTTAAAGCTTTATTTCTTTTATTATTATTATTATTATTATATATGTTTATATTTTGTGTTGTAAAAATTTATTTCATTTCCTTGATTTTTATTTTTATTATTAATGTTTACTTATATTTTGTGTTGTAAAAATTGTTTTAATTTTTATTTAAAGTATTATTTCTTTGTTTATTATTATTACTAATGATTGTATTTTGTGTTGTAAAATTATTTTAATTTTTATTTAAAGTATTATTTCTTTGAATATTATTATTAACAATTGTTATGTTTTGTGTTGTAAAATTAATTTAATTTAAAGTATTATTTCTTTATTATTAATAATTTTTATATTTTGCATTATAAAACTTTATTTTATTTGATGATGTTTATTATTGATGGTTTTGTATATAATTTGTGTTGTATTTTCTTTTAAAAAAATAAAGTATTATTATTAACAGTAATATTATTATGTTTGTATTAGGTTTATTTTGTTGGTGGTTTGAGAGTTCCTGTTTGAGCCTCCTGTGTGTGTATTTTCCACCTTGCAGAGGATAAAAGAGGGTTGTGAGTTCATTGGAGAAAAATAACAAAGCAAAGAATATTCCAAATCTAAAGCATACTTTAAAGAATATTGTAAAGCCAGGGCTGCCTTGTTTACAGGTTGGTGTGTTCTTCTTCTGATAGGATTGCCCTCCAGCCGTGATGAGGGACGACTTCTCCGGAGCCCTAGCTACCATTGGTGGGTTGGGGTCTCTCTTGAGGAGCAGCGAACCCCTCTCTCTGTCTCCGGTGCCATCTCCGGCTGCTTCGTTGCTGGAGGATGCCACCGACCTCCTGGTGATGCGCAGGGACTTTGTGGCTGCCCTAGAGGCGTGCGAAAAGGGCTGCCAGAGCCTTGAGGATGGAGACCCAAACAGGTAGGCACCGGTTTTAACAGGAGACAGAAAGATCAGAACTGGAAGAAGGAGAACACCAAGAACACCAGATAGGAGTGGACCTCCCATCCTCTTTGATTATTCCTGGCAATGGTGGCTGGATTTGATGGAGGTTGCAATAGAACAATACTGGAAGGATGGATCTACATCAGGTTTGGGCAGATTTCGACCTTCCCTCCAAGTGTTTTGGACTTCAACTCCCACAATTCCAACCAGCCAGTAGGCTATTAGGAATTGTGGGAATTGAAATTCAAAACACCTGGAGGGAGGGCTGAAGTTTGCCCCATGCCTGTCCTAGTCTCTGGCCTCAGCAATACGAGCAATTTCTCTGTTTTGAGAGGCTTTTGGATTGATGTGATTTCCTTCCACTTTCTGTGAGCTCTAGTGCCTCAACAACAAACTCCAAGGTCCAGGATTGCATAAACAATGCTTCTCAACTTGGGGGTCGGGACCCCTGAGTGGGTTGCGCGGGGGTGTCAAAGAGATCGCCAAAAACCATTTTCTGATAGTCATGGGGATTCTGTGTGGGACATTTGGCCCAATACTATCATTGGTGGGTTTCAGAATGCTCTTTGATTGTAGGTTAACTATAAATCCCAGCAACTACAACTCCCAAATGTCAAGTCTATTTCCCCAAACCCCACCAGTGTTCAAATTTGGGCATATCAAGTATGCATGCCAAGTTTGGTCCATATCCATCATTGTTTGAATCCACAGTGCTTTCTGGATGTAGGTGAACTACAACTCCAAAACTCAAGGTTTTGGAGTTCCAACCCTTCCAGTATTTTGTTGGTCATGAGAGCTCTGTGTGCCAAATTTGGTTCAATTCCATCAGCGGTGGAGTTCAGAATGCTCTTTGATTGTAGGTGAACTATAAATTTCAACAACTACAACTCCCAAATGTCAAGTCTATTTTCCCCAAGTCCACCAGTGTTCTCATTTGGGCATTTTGAGTATGCGTGCCAAGTTTGGTCCATATCCATCATTGTTTGAGTCCACAGTGCTTTCTGGATGTAGGTGAACTACAAGGTCAATGCCCACCAAATCCTTCCAGTATTTTGTTGGTCATGGGAGTTCTATGTGCCAAGTTTGGTTCAATTCCATCATTAGTGGAGTTCAGAATGCTCTTTGATTGTAGGTGAACTATAAATCTCAGCAACTACAACTCCCAAATGACAAAATCAATCTCCCCTCCAACCCCACCAGGATTCCAATTTGGGCGTATCGGATATTTGTGCCAAATTTGGTCCAGTTCATGAAAATATATCCTGCATATCAGATATTTACATTACAATAACAGTTATGAAGTAGCAATGAAAATAATGTTATGGTTGGGGGTCACCACAACATGAGGAACTGTATTAAGAGTTCGCTGCATTAGGAAGGTTGAAAATCAGTGCCATAGGATGTTGTTATGGCAGTTACAGTGGAATCATACTGCTATGACCACATAGTGTGAAAGACCCCAGGAGTCACAATACTAATCACCTCTCAACAAAAGATTGCCCTAGGCACCAACAAGCCACACCCAACAACTGCCAGGCCATCAGATGCTAATCAAGGTGGTCAGTTGATACATTCACACCTAGCTCCAACAGACAAGAGTTCTTTGTCCCACCCTGGTCATTCCACAGATATATAAACCCATTTTCCTAGTTCCAACAGACCTCACTACCTCTGAGGATGCTTGCCATAGATGCAGGCGAAACGTCAGGAGAGAACATGGCCATATAGCCCGAAAAACCCTATAACAGCCCAGTCACAATACTGAAATCAAACTTTATATCAATCACATATTTTATATTTGAGATTTAAGCAGAAAATATCTTATTTATGACAGCAAAAATAGCAAGTAGAAGTCTAGTTCAAAGCGGGGAGGATGTTACTTGAAGAAGGGTTGCTTTTAGTACCTTGCAAGTTGTAATTTGGCATCTCTCTTTGTTGAACCAGCTCTGAAGAACTGAAATGCTCTTTAATGATTGTGGGCATCCAGGCCCTGGCTGAGATGGATCGGTGGAGGGATGTCCTTCCATGGATTCTTCAATATTACCAGGACCCTGAGTGTTGGCCGCCTAAAATCCTAGAGCTGTGGTGAGTTTCTTTTCCTCTCTATGCCTAGTTTTCATTAAAATGTTTCTGTACCACATCAGCCTTCAAGTGGACATTCACACGGCTTTGGCGCATCTAGTTAGTAACCAGCTGCATTAAATCACTACTGACCGAGAGGTCATGAGTACGAAGCCATCCCAGGTAGGCGTAAGCTCCCAACTATTAATAGTCTAGCTTGCTGTCGACCTATGCATCTGTCAAGTAGGAAATTTTGGTACCACTTTATGCAGGGAGGCTAATTTAACTAATTTTACGACACCATAAAACCTTCAAGCAGCGTCTGTAAGAATGAGGAAGTACTCCATCAAGGACTCGGTGTCACAAGTGGACGGTGAAGCGGCATCTCTCTCTTTGGCCGGAATCAAGCATACCCTCCTGAAGCTGGAATGTTAAATTGCCTCTGTGTGTCTGTCTACGAGGGTGGAATGAAAAGTAATGCCTCCACTTTCTTTACTTGGGTTTGGATGGGAATATTTTAATAAATTAAACGCAGAAATAATCCTTAGAATTTGCTCTTTAACTAACACTATTCACTTTTCCACATAATCACCAGACAATTGGATACATTTCTGCTTTGGCCCACTGATTTTAACAGGCTTCAACCTACTCAATGTCCTCAGGACGACACTAGCTTTGGCCCACTGACTGTAGCAGGCTTCGGCTTACTGTCCTCAGAACGATACTAGCTTTGGACCACAGACTCACAGGGTTCGGCCTACTCACTCTCCTCAGGACGACACTAGCTTTGGCCCACTGACTCTAACAGGCTTCAGCCTACTAACTCTTTCAGTGCTTGACTCAACTTTTGTAATAAAAAATACCCAGTAAATTTTTAATATTTCTGACAATACTGTCCAGTTTTAAGAATTCCACTTCATTGTAACCATTGAGTACTTCCAAGGAATTGACTCCTGGAATATTTCGTTCCTTAACTTGTTTTCTGTGGAAATTAAAAAGAAAAAGACGCAGGAGAAAATTACGTTATAAAGGGGAAACAGCTTTGTCTGGATCTTGTAGAAGGTTACACATATGTCAGGACAGTTTACATAATATTATTTATTTATTTATTTCATTTATATACTGTTTTTCTCTATCCCTAGGTGGACTCAAAGCGGTTCACAACAAAGTAAATGGCAAAATTCAGAGCCTCACAAGATATAAAACACAACACATAACTAAAATAGCATATCATAATAGATTAAAATAGTGAACTATAAAACATCAAACATAAACAACATAATATAACATTACACCAATCCTGAAGTTTTCTTTGCTGCTTCATCTCACTCCCCAAATGCTTGCTTTAAAAGCCACATTTTGAGTAATTTTCCTGAATGTCAGGAGGGAGGGGTCCAATCTTATTTCGCAGCCGAAGTGCCACCACCAAGAAGGCCCTGTCTCTTGTCCCCATCAATTGCACCTCCGAAGGTTGTGGCTCATAGAGGGACAAGGGAGCTTTGCCTTCCAAATACATATTACATAAAGTGAATAGGATGAATTCAGCATTGCACTGTTTTGGAATGTTTAAAATGTCAAGATAGGCTAGAAATGTAGTTAAGCATACTTTTTTTCACTAGAACCCCCCAGTCCATTATATATAATCCAGAACATCCTAATATGACTCCCTTGGGTCAAGGAATGTGCCTGCCAGAAACATTATTCTATTATTTTTAAAATTTCCAGATACGTGGTAAAGGGGATTAGAATGTTGTGCCTGGTTTCCTGTGTGTTTATGGGGACCATTAACTCCATATGGCATTTTAAGGCAAGGAATGTTCAGAAGGGGTTTTGCCAGTTTAAGGTAAAGGTAAAGGTAAAGGTTTTCCCCTGACATTAAGTCCAGTCGGGGTTGGTGCTCATCTTCATTTCTAAGCCGAAGAGCCGGCGTTGTCTGTAGACATCTCCAAGGTCATGTGGCCAGCATGACTGCATGGAGCGCCGTTACCTTACTGCAGGAGCAGTACCTATTGATCTACTCACATTTGCATGTTTTCGAATGGCTAGGTTGGCAGAAGCTGGGGCTGACAGTGGGAGCTCACGCCACTCCCTGGATTCTACTCTATTTATCTATCTCACCCAGGGTTTTAATTTTACCCCTTGCATTTGGCCCAACCCACTGTGTTCAATTCCTTCATTATTTTATTTTATATCTTCTGTTTACCCTGTTGAATTATTTCATTATTGTTTGCATTTGATTTGATGTTATTTTCTGTTGTATATATATTTTACTTTGCTTTGTTGTAATTCTTGGGCTTGGCCTCATGTAAGCCGCCCATGTTTTCGAACTGCTAGGTTGGCAGAAGCTGGGGCTGATAGTGGAACCTCACCCCGCTCCCCGGATTCGAACCTGCGACCTTTTGGTCAACAAGTTCAGCAGCTCAGCGGTTTAACCCACTGCGCCACCAGGTGCCAATTTATTACTCTGAAATATAGCCTGCAGAAACTGGTAGGCATTCCTGCCACATGATTTTGGAGGTGTCTACGGACAACGCCGGCTCTTTGGCTTAGAAATGAAGATGATCACCAACCCCCAGAGTCAGACACGACTGGACTTAATGTCAGGGGAAAACCCTTACCAAACTGGTATTCATTCACTGGTGGTCTCCCATCCATGCACTAACTAGGACTGACTGCTTAGCTTCCGAGATCAGACAGGACCTATGCCTTTAAGATACTTAGGCCTTTCCATGGCATACGTCTTTGTGATATAATGTGACAATGTCTATGGACAGTTCTAGATAAATGCATCCATGTATTACACTGTCAGGGTATTAAGGAGTTGTTGCTGTCTTCTCTTCTAGCATCCTTCTGCATAGCAAAGTGGAAGAACCTCAAGTGATGCTAGAAATCGGTCGCGATTGGCTTCATTCCTCCACCAACCAGCACTTGCCCAGTTATGGCCTCTTGGTCCAGCTGTATCTCTTCCATGTTCTGTTGCCTCTTGGGCACTTGGCAGAGGCGGAGGGTCTGCTCCAAGGCTGCAAAGCGCTGAGCGGGGATCAGCAAGCAGAAGCGCATGAGAGCATTGAGGAGAAAAAGCATCAATGGTTACGGCAACAAGAGGAGTGCCTGGTTCCTGAGGATCCACCAGATGTGGCATGGAAGCAGCAGTTGGGTAAGCTTTTGCTTTAGCAGTCTTTCAGCTGAAATAGTTGATATTATTATTATTATTATTATTATTATTATTATTATTATTATTATTATTATTTTGGTTACTTCTACCCCGCCCTTCTCAACCCGAAGGGGACTCAGGGCGGCTTACAAAAGCAAGGCACAATTCGATGCCCGCATCACATAACAGCAATAAAACAAAATAACATCAATTAACAATTAACAGCAATTCTTGCATTACAACCATAAAACCAATACAAACCAATTTCTCCTCATTGACGGTCAGCGTTCTATCTCATAGTTCAAATTCCAATTCCACAATTGTCAGTCCTGTCAGTCCTATTCGTCTGGTTGGGTCTAGTTGTCAGATTGCCCGAAGGCCTGGTCCCACAACCACGTTTTTAATTTCCTCCTGAAGGAGAGGAGGGATGTTGATGACCTAATTTCCCCCGGGAGTGAGTTCCACAGGTGAGGGGCCACCACTGAGAAGGCCCTGCTCCTCGTCCCCACCAACCTCACTTGTGATAGCGGTGGGGTCGAGAGCAGGGCCCCCCCAGATGATCTCAAATTCCGGGGTGGGACGTAGAGGGAGATACGTTCGGACAGATACACTGGACCGGAACCGTACAGGGTTTTGTATGTTAACACTTTTTCGAATTCGGATACTTTCCTCATGTTCAGATGGACTTCCCGCTAAAAAAGCCCCAGTAACTCTATGATTATGATTATGGTTATTTATTTATTTATTTATTTATTTCATTCACTTATACCCCGCCCTTCTCACCCCTAGGGGGACTCAGGGCGGCTTACATAAAGGGCACAATTAGATGCCCAAATCACACAACAAGTAATCCAAAAAATATAAAATTCAGCAGTTAAGTTAAAAACAACAATACATAATAAAACATAATCCTAAAAACAATCTCATGTCAGAGTCCATATGTCAGAGTCCATACATCCGTTCTATTCCATTTGTCCTTGTCTGTCACCGGTCCTTGATTTAATTATCAGAGTGACCAAAGGCTTGGTCCCACATCCAGGTCTTTAGTTTTTTCCTAAATGCTAGGAGGGAGGTCGCCGATCTAATCTCCCCGGGGAGGGCGTTCCACAGGCGGGGGGCCGCCACTGAGAAGGCCCTGCTCCTCGTCCCTTAATATTATTAAGAATGGGTTGCCATCTGTCAGAGGTCCTTAGATTGTGCTTTCCCAGCATGAACGCAGAATGAAGGGGGTTGAACTAGAGGTCCTTTAGAGGTTCCTTCCAACTCCAGGATTCTATGAAAGGAGTCTTAGTCAACCACGAGTGGAACATGAGCCAACGATATGATGCTATAGCTGAAAAGGCCAGTGCCGTTCTAGGCTGCATCAATAGGAGAAGCCTGACAGAAGGCAAAAGGGAACTGATATGACACTTTAGCTAGGCTGGTTTTTAAATTTCTTTGAATGATAATTATTTAATGCAACTGTTTATTTTAACTTATTGTACAATGTTTAGTATTGTCTTTTGTTTTGAATTTTTATGATTTTCTGTTTATAGAGGCATTGAATGTTTGCTTGTTACTATGTCAGAAGCCACCCTGATTCCCCATAGGGAGATAGGGTGGGATACAAATGAAGTTTTATTATTATTATAAAATTATTGTTGATACCATATTGGTTTTTTGCTGACCCTCCTTTTCAACTTACAAAACTAATTTACCATTTTTCTTTGAAATATGGTAAATATTCAAAAACATTTCCTTTACTGATGCCTCAATGAATGTAATTTATTGATATCTATTTTTATTTTTGAAATTGACCAGGACTGGCTGCATTTCTCACCCTCGGCTTATACTCAAGTCAATAAGATTTCCCAGTTTTTTGTGGTAAAATTAGGTGCCTCCGCTTATATTCGGGTCGGCTTATACTTGAGTATATATGGTATATTTCCGGTACAAACCTGCCTTGGTCCTGAGATCCTCGCAGGCTCAGTTGGTGGGAACGAGAGAGTGGACCTTCTCATTGGCTGCTCCTCGACTCTGAAAGTGCCTGCCCAGGGAAGCCAGAATGGTCCCCTCCTTGCTATCCTCTTGATGGCATGCTACAGCTGTTTTCTTCAGGAAGGTTTTTAAAGAAGGAGGTTTTAAAGATCAAGTTAAGGGAGTGCTCTGGTTTTAGCTATATGTATAGGTTTTTAATTGGTTTTATGGGTTTTTACTTTTGGTATGTCATTCTATTTTAATGTTTGTACGTTTGTCAGGTTTTTCATTGTATCAATTTTATTGTAAGCCTCTTTGATTCTCTTTTTAGAGAGATAAAGCAGAATTCTACTACTACTACTACTATTACTACTACTACTACTAATAACAATAATAATAATAGATAAGCTAGTCAATATTAGTGATATCCATTATGTCACCGTATAGTGGGTTGTTAGAGGGAGAACCTGAGTATAACAGATAACTCAGGAAGACACAATACATACAGTAAAATAGATTATATTCTGGGGGGGAAATACAAACCAATCATTGATTCTAGAGGCAAAAACACTTCCAATATATTTGTCAGGCCATGCACCATTAGAAAGAAAAGAACTTGGAGGTATAAAACAATTCTAAACAGTAGAGAGGAAGTATATGAAACGGTTAGGAAAGAAATAAGCACGTATTTTGAGACCAATGATAATGGACAAGTAACTAAAGATATAATTTGGGATGCAAGCAAGACTCTGATAAGGGGTCACTGAATAAGTTTAGAGGTAAATCTCAGAAGGAGATGGAGAGTGAACAGGATAAGATAATAAAAGAAATAAAAACCTTGCAGGACAGACATAAAAGAACTAGGGATAGAAAAATCTGAAGAGAATTAAAGAAGAAGAGAAAACAATTAGAAGCTTTCGAGGAAAGAAATATAATAAATAATTATTTATATGTTAAAAGCAGTTCCCAAAGTTGTAATATAGAATCAATGAAGAGGATGGCTTACTATTTGAAAAAGGAAAAAAAAACATGGGTGAAGAGATTGAAAGATGAAAATGGGAGAGAACAAGAGGAGCAAAGTAAGATTAGAGAGATACTGTATAGTGGGTTGTATATTTAACTAAAAACTGAATGCAAATGTTAATAGAAAACAGATCCTTTGTATCCATATAGGTCTAATGATCCTGTTTTCCATTTCAGGTCGAATCATGTTAAAAGGAGACAATATTACTCTTCTACAAAGTGTTTCTAACTAGAAGTGGCTATCCAGTGTGTTGTGATTGTTATTTGAAACTTTAAACCTGCAGAAGAAAAATGTGATGGATGCTGTCACTTGCAATTTTTCCCCTTGTGATTTTGAGAAGAGAGAGGAGAATGGAGCCAGTTTCTTAGTACACACTTACATAATTGGGGATAACAATTTTTAAAATATTTTTGTGGACCAGTAGTTGTTTATAAATAAACATTTTTGTTAATACATCTGTGTTTCTTATTGTCCCAAATAACACATGTCGAGATATTTGCTAATTCTTTTAATGACACAGAAAAACAAATTGTTTTGCCCAGGTACACTATTAGAGAAACTTCAGTTAGAACACATGTGATGAATGTGTGACTCTTGAGAATCTTGGACTGGTGTTCACATGAATCCGAGCCATCACAGCCAATAGTGAAACACGATGGGAATTGCAGTTGGACAGGATATGAAGGACCACACTTTCCCTCATGCCAACTTTAGAATATATGGGTGTTTGAGATAACAAAACCAACTAGCTATCTATATCTGAAATGAGTAGTTTCTTGTCAGTGTTGAAAAAAAAATCTAATACCCTGTGAGTTGAAGATTTTATCTATTTAACTATAATTAAGGCTTATGTATCTTGATGGGGATCCATTTAACTGATTTCTGGTGGTTGAGATTTTATGAAGTGCCATAAATGGCAACTGCGAAAAGAACTTAAATCAGGAAAAAATGCAATTCATTACTTATATCCCAGACCAGTTTTTGAAAGGCAAACACATCAGTAGTTCTCCCATTGAGCTGCCTGAGGTTCCATATGTCTTTCCAAAGGTGTGCAGTTTGTAGCCTGTTACAATTGGGATATCAAATAAAACTGAACATTTTAGTTTATTGAACAAATTTCTTTTCAGCTTTCTGAGAATTTGATTCTGAAATGTGAATATTGCTAAATATCTGAAGGAAAGTGTACACAAGAACAGAAATTAAATATAAAAATATTTTAGTAGTAGACCAAATAAAAAATCTATCCACAGATAAACGTCTCACTACTGTTTAGGTGTTCTTTAACATGTCATCTGTAAATCAGTTACAAAAACTAACTAAAATTCAGAATAATAAAAAGAGCAGCTTACTTGCTCAGTTGTTTTGATGGTATCAGAATTCCTGGTTTCATGCTAATTTCTACAAGGAAGGAAGCGTAGGCTGATTGTATGAAACCCTTTTTGTGTTTGCGCTGTCTCTATATGTACAGCTATGGCATAGAATGTTGACACTTTAGAAGTTCTTAGAGTAATCAACCCCATTTATGACCAGCATTTTTCCCAAGACTTGAATGAGATGACTAACACATTATAAACATAGCAATTAAAAGTATACAAAAAGTCATCATTAAAACTTAATTCAACTATTAACCATATAAAAAACAAAACATTCTAAAAAGTCGAATAATACAATCCAAAGCAATGCAGCACTTCTATTGCTTTGCTAAAAGCTTTCAGTTTCTGAAGTGTCTGAATTACAAAAAGTCTTTGCCTGTCAGTAGAAGGAGAGCAAAGAAGAGGTCACCACTATAGTCTTCCTGTAAGAGAAGGGTCTTTCCTGTGGATCACAGGGTCGGGGCAGGCTCATATTGGGGAATATGCTCTGTCAGATGGTCTGGACCTAAGCAGTGTAGGGTTTTATGAGTCATAACCAACACTTTGAATTGTGCATGGAAACAGACTGGCAGTGAGGCTTTTGGAGATGCAGATTTTTACTGAAACAGGTTCATTACCACAAACCTGAGTTACTGATGCGGTAGCATATGTTCCTCTTTCTTGCAAATACTTAATCATAATGTGTATGGATACTGGACATTCATTAGACAGTCCTATGATGTTCACTATTTCTTGTTCAACTCAGATGGAAAAAATGGGCCTTTCAGAAGTTTTCTGCTTCAACTGATCTTAATTTATTAAACAAAATGCAAAAAACATACACATGCCTTTCTGCTGAATATGGAAAGATTGGTGGAGAAGTGAGACATAAGTGTTTAAATTTTGCTTATGTCTTATGTTTAATGGTTTTAATTAATTTAAACTCATATGTTATTGTTTAGATACTATAACTTTTTATATGCATGCCTGGCATTGAATTTTGCCATTAGTATGTTATAAACCATTTTGAGTCCCCCCGGGGTGAGAAAAGTAGTATATTAAAAAATTAAATAAATAAATGTTATGTTGATTTGTTTGCTTGATGTTACAGCATCTATATAATAATCATCATCATCATCATCTTTATTTGTACTCCGCCAACATCTCCCCAAAGGGGACTCGGGGCAGCTATCATGAGGCCAGGCCCAAAACTACTGGAGTTGTAGCCATCCCCTCAATTAGCACGCTTATTAATGAAAAAGTCTTCAAACCACATTATCAAGTTTTGTAATCACAGAAGGAGGATGGGCAGCATATTTTAAACCTGTGGCCTGGGTCTGCGCCACCATCCGCCTCGCCTACGAGCTGGGGGCCAATGAACCTCCTCTGACCCTGAGGGCCCACTCCACCCACGCAGTTGCAACCTCCACCGCCTTCTCTCGAGGCGTCCCTCTTGAGGACATCTGTAAAGTGGCCCTCGCCGCTCACGTTTGTCACCCATTACAAGGTTGACCTGTCCAGATGCCAGGTGGCCTTCGGGAGAGCAGTCCTCTTTTCGGTGCTGGCATGACGCCCGCCATCCATGGTAAGTGGCTTTTGTACTCTACCACATGTGGGCATTCCACAGAACACCACGAGATAGAAACTATGGTTGCTTACCTGTAACCGTGGTTCTTCGAGTGGTCATCTGTGGAATCCACACATCCCCACCCATCCTCCCCACACTTGGTCATGCTGCTTCCTCTGCCACTTCGCCGGCAGGGAACTGAGCCTATGGCACCACGTGGAGCCTTTTATCCCCGCAGGGGAAGGTGGGTGGGCCTTTAGTCAAGTCTCATTAGCTATTTGAGTTTCCGTACCTGCTGCACATAGGCACCAAAGTACCACATGTGTGGATTCCACAGATGACCACTTGAAGAACCATGGTTACAGGTAACCAACCATAGTTTCCTTCCTTGCTCCCTTCTGAACATACTGTCACAATTCACTTTTTTACAGTGGTCTCATAGCTTTCCTGAAAACATCTAGTGACGGTGTTGGCTTTCTCCACTTTCAGAACACTTGTATGAAGCTTCAAATATGTCTCACTCTCCACCAATACCACTATTTGTATTTTAGCCTCCACACCTACTCTAAACTGGATGGGAATTGTGTAGCCTTCAACGTGTTGTTGGACCTCAACTCCCGACAGTCTTGGCAAGACAGATTATTATAAATAATGCTGCATGTTATAGTATAATAGAGTGTTGGACTATGATGCTGGGTGGATAGGGATTTTGTTTTATTTTTATTTTTTTAAAGAAACACTTTGAATTCTATACTAGGTGCTCGACAGAATATACATATCCATCCCCTGAATTTTTAAAAAAGTATATCCCTCACCTAATAAAATGCTAAACATCACATCAAGCATGTTTTTAAATGTTGTCTCTTGATTTCTGAATCTACTTCTGTTACATACCAGTAGCTTTAAGCAAGATATATTTTCTTTGTTCAAATATATCTGTAAAGATGACACAAGGTCTGGCCATCCTTGCAAGAATAGAAGTGGTTTGTGTGCGAGTTCTTAAGAAATGTACCTTAAAAGTTCCAAAGCTTGGTTGAAAGAGTAGTATTTGTCTTAGCCAGCAGGGGGAAGAGCTGCATTCTGCAAGAACAACCATTTGTATAAAGTACCAGAAACCTTTGCTGGAAGCATAGGAGGGGAATATGTCAATTCAAGGCAACATCTCCAGCATTTATTCCTGCTTTATTTTCTCTGCAACAACATAGAAGGAAGAATGACTTCAATTGCAGAATATCTCATGAATCTCTAGGCCCTCCAAGAGATGCAAATCTGTAGTGGTTGGGACTGGAAGTAAGCTAATTTAAAGTTGTCCAGTCATTTCTGCAGTTTCAGGTAACCACTGTCCAACTGAGAATGTATCAATTACTGCATTTCATCCTAGCCCTGGAAGACTTAAAGAGCAAGGAACAGAGGAAATGTCCATCAGCTCCAAGTAGTGTTTCAGCTGGTTAGCGCATCCTTCACATACCATTTTCTCCAATGCATTCAATTTGGAATTCAGCTACTGGTCAAATTATACCTGGGACCTCATCCCACTGAACAGAGTACATTTATCATTCAGCAAAGTCAGTTCTAAAATTAAATTGATTATTTCCCTACCTCCATCACACACTAGCAAACTATCTGTTTTATTCAGGAGTTCTCAGTTGATTTGCCAGCACATTGTAGAGAGTTGTTCCTGACAGCTGTCCCTCTCCTGTTTTCTTTGTGAAAAGAAACACCTCTCCTGGACTAAGACAAGATGAGAGATATTAAAGGCTTGTGAAATTATGCATATTATGTTTTACTAAAAGAATTCAAGGGCATCCAAGGATCCAGAGTGAAAGTCCTTACCTGATTTTGTCAAAGCATTATGTGTATCCTATGGAGCAGTGTTTGTTAAAGTACTGGCAGGAAAAAGGTGGCATATAAATGAAATGAAAAATTATATGAAGAGATGGTCCCTCAACTGTCTGCTGGCCCCTAGTGACATTCCAGGAAAAAGAAGAAACATTTGTTCTCAACAGGCACAAATGGGGTGTTTGTCCCTAGCATTGGGGAAAAAAAACAATTGCCAGGTGCCCATATGAGTCTGAGAAATACTCTTTTTGAGCACGTCTTCAGAGAGAACATTACCTCACAAATACAAGCTTAGTTTAAGCTGTGTTTGTTTTCCATAGTTTACGTAAAGTTTTGATTTTTACATAGGAAAGAGCAATGCAAATGACTTTGGTTGAATGGGGTTAGGCAAACATACTCAGTGTAGAATGAGGTGGAACATCATTTAGTAACTGATTCTGGGCTTTGAAACAGTAAAGGTGCTTAGAAGAGCCAGTGTTGTATAGTGGTTCAAGTGTTGGCCCCTGGACATAAGGATTCGAATCTCTGTTCAGGTATGGAAATTCACCGGGTGATGTTGGGCTAATGACACTCAGCCTCAGAGAAAGGCAAACTCACTCTGAACAAATCTTGTCAAGAAAACTTTGCTAGGGTTTCTATAACTCAGAAACTGCTTGAAGGTACACAACAATAACAAAATGTACTTGGAGATGTTGACTCAAGTAGGTGAGTACTTGTAGGTTCCTGTTTGGCCACTAGGAACAACACTGTTCTGGATATACTCATGCAACAAGAATGCTGGACCAGATAGCCAAGAGTGGAAAACCTGGGGTACACAAGATGCTGCTCTACAACAACTATCATCTTTGGCTATGCCATTACCACGACATCCAGTGGGCCAAATAGTCCTAACCCTTGACATAGGCTCTTGGTATGATCCAAAATGGTAGTTCTGACATTCTTCAGAGAATGGTTTGCTGATTAGAGAACTAGTGAGAGACAATAGAAACCAAAGAGCATCCTGCATGCCAACCTGGAAACAGATGGTATGGGTTAATTACATAGAGTGAATGGTTCACATTGGCACCATTTTGAAGGTCTTTCCTGTTTCTTCACAGTATGTCCAGTTTGGGCATTTTGACAAAGTGTGTCACTTTGTCATAAAAATGTTAAATTGTAGGTAAGAATGACGACCTCCAGGGACATTGTTGGGCTCTTAAGGGATTTTGGACCTAGGTTCACAGGACTTAAATCTGCATAAAATGTGGATGTGCTAATACATAATACATATTAAACAAGCTATCAAGGAGTCTCATAGTAACCATACTATGTCAGCACCACTTGTGACTTCGATATATTGCATTATGAAGCAACATCAATTGTGACCTCTGATCAGCATTTACATGAGCTGTGGCTCCTACTGTATCAATCAACAGCAAATCTCCAATCCTACCAATTCCAATGTAAGCAATTTTAAAAATAAATATAGATAGAATGACAGCTTAGTCTCTCTGTGTGTGGGATGCCATCATTTTCTAAAAGTATCAATGGCCCTACCCAGGGTCATAAAATGTTGTGCAAGTATGTAAAAAGTTCACCAAAACAGCAAAACTCTTGAGTTGCTCAATGCTGCTCAAAGATAACAATTTGTTTTTTAAAAAAGATATATTTGGGGATACCATACATGTCTTGCAAACTTAATCTTTAGATCTTATCCATTTGTTATGCATTTAACCCCCAGGGACTTTCTGCAAAAAAAGTGGGATGTGGACGTTGCCATTCTCACAGCCAATTTGGCATGCATAGGAACAGCTATGTACCCATTTCTCCCACCTAGCCTTCCATCTATTTGCTGTTATCCACCTCTGCTCTGTTTTCTTTCTAGGTAGAATATAGTGTTGAAAGAAAACGGCTTGTCAGCCTCAGTCTTTGCAGAGAATAGCAGCTGGCCAGCCCAGCTCCTCCCTGCCTAGAATATATTGCTTTCTGAAACATAACTGGCCTAGGAATTCCTTCCTTGTATGTACCCTCTCTTTCCTCAGAGTAACAAGTTTATCAAAAATAGGATTGAAATGTCCCTTCCATCAACATTGTTGCTGCTGTGTTATTATAAATGCTGTACAACCTCAATTTTTCGTGAACCTTTGGGAGCTCGTTAAACTGAGGTTTGAAATGATTTTTATGTTTTTATGCTTTTATGCTTAGATATAACTTTATAATGTAACTGTTTTGTGTTTTTAGGTCTTATTTATAATTGGTTGTTTGATGTCAATTGGTGTTGGGATTTGGTGGGTTGTATCCTTGTCCGCTTTTGTGGTGAGGCATTGAATATTTGCCTCTATGTGTTTTTAGAGTTCCCTTGGGGAGATAGAGCAGAATATAAATAAAGGTGTTGTTGTTGTTGTTGTTATTTGAAACACAACACAGCAAACAAGGTCACTATGCTGGCTGTTGTATTGGATCACATGTCGGACCCTTTCCAAGTATCTAGGACTGTGTGATGTACCAGTGAATAATGTGTGCAGATCCCAGTAGGGTGGCCTTTTGCGCCTGACAGATGGTCATTTTGTTAGCGCCTATTGTGTTTAAGTACAGGCCAAGATCTTTAGGCACTGCACCCAGTGATCACAACTGGGACCACCTTTACTGGCTTGTGCCGGAGTCTCTGCAGTTCGATCTTTAAAGCCTCATATCGTGTCAGCTTTTCCAGTTTTTTTTTTCAATCCTGTTGTCACCTGGGATTGCAACATTGACAATCCATACTTTGTTTTTCAACACAATTATGGGGTCAGGAGTATTGTGCTCCAAAACTCTGTCAGTATGAAATCAGTTGTTTGATATGTTTATTTTCTGTAACTTTTTCAGGATTGTGATCCCACCTTCCGCCTCCTTTATTAAACCTGGATCTGCTTTGCTCAGAAAAATGAAATGCAAAGAAGCAGAATAGGGGATACCTGGCTTGATATCAGTACGTGTCCAACAGATCTCGCAGTCCTAGTTAAAAAATGGCCAGGAATGCCATGTAGCAGCTTAAAAAACCAATGGGATTTTGGCCTGCATAAATAGGAGTATAGTGTCTAGATCCAGGGAAGTCAGACCACAC